AAGACTACGTGTGATCCCAACCCGATGGCCCATATACATTTTCTAATAAACCTAGTAATGTGATTTTAAGATTGTGCTAACACATTTCTGGTTCACGCTTTAACTGGACAATGGATACAACTACATACAACTGGAAATAACTACAATTGGAACGCTAAGAAAAACTAAAACAGAGGATATCAAAATCGTTTCTTATATCCCAAAGCAACGCAAAAATGTGATTTTAATAATTAGCATGCACCATAACGATGACATTGACATAAACAGTGATGATAAATCTAAACCAGTAATAGTCACTACTTAGAATAATACAAAAGGGGATGTCGACGTTGTAGATAAGTTGGGCGCTAGTTACAACTGCTCCCGGAATAGCAGATGACCCATGGTGATATTCTATACTTTATTAAATGTTGCTGGAATCAATACTCGTGTGATATAAAGCAAACAACGGAGGCCCAAATATACGTCGACCACATTTGTTAAGAGATTTAGCAAACGCATTGGTTCATCCACATTTGAAAAGGAGAGCAATATTTCGAGGACGCGGAAGCTGAGACTTATGAAAGTAACTCGAAGTGATGCACCGGAAAATCAAGAAATGCCAATACCTGCTGGAAGGTGCATGTACTGCGGCTGGAGAAAGAATAGAAGAAGAGCATATCACAGGTGATGTCAGAACTGTAGGGAACTACAATAAAAGTATATCGTTTTGTTTTTTGTAGCTATTTGTTGCATTTATGTTCATTTAACATTTTTTAAGTATATTTATTCTTTTACGCTTGTTTATTTTTATTTTATAAGGAAAAATTAATACACATTACATGTTTTCTCAATAACTATTCAAATCATTGTCCTATTTAGTTTAATAAAGTTTAAATTATTTTTTTACTAAAACGTCTTAATATATTTACCTATTCTAAATTTCTACAAAATAAAAATGAAAAAAAGTAATGTAACACTGCGTATCATGTGTTCGGCGATCACAAAAATTGTGTTTTTTTTATTTTTGTAAATAACAAAATTTAGACCAGGAAATTAAGTATATTCCTGAAATGCAAGAGTGTGGTTTATTGTACGATATTACATCATTCAGCAATATGCTTAAATATCATGCAACAAGTTTAATAAATAGCGCCACCAATAATAACGCCAAAAGCTTCAATTCTGATATTGCAAAATTTGTTGGAGGTAAACGAGTAAATCGAACTAAGAGAGGTGGCGATCCGTTAAAGTGTTTGGCGGCAGCAGTATCATATAATTCACGGGAAAATTATTTAAATAATATATTACAAAATAAGTATAGCAAAAGTGCAACTGATTATTACCAAATTATTTGCTCAAAAAAAAAAATGTAAAAAATGGGTACAAGAAACAAACAGACAAAAGAAATATATTAAAAAACAAACAAGTAAAATAAGTCTGATAAAGACTATGCCCTAAATGGAGAAGCGTTTGTTCAGTTGTCGGATGAAGCAAAAAAACAGAAATTAAAAAAAATATATCTCACAAAGATTCTCACAGATTAATACTACGGCTCAAAATAAGTGCTGTTTGGTACCAATATAGAACGTTAGCAATGGTTAACGTCGAGTAATTTCGGTAAAATATCTAAATTACGAAAAAAAAAACAGACAGAACTAAAACTGTGGAAGTAATATTTAATCCAACGTTTTATGGAAATAGATTTACAGAATATGGAATTGCGAACGAACCCAAAGCAAAAAAATTAAACAATTTTAAATATTAATATTGAACTATCAGGACTTTGCATACATGATGAATATTCCTTTCATGCAGCTAGTCCTGATGATTTAATAGGCGACTCAGGCATAGTTCTGCCCTACTAGGAAAAAACACCTTAAGTCCAAAAAAATAAAAATTGAGTTAAGGTCATATTAGGGTTTTATAGGTGGTTTTCTAACTATTTTTGAGGTTAGAAAGCGGTAGCTCCACTTCTTCAATGAGAAAAACGCTAATGAAATATGCCTTATGTCCTAAATTGTCTGCCATTCTAGTGAAGAAAGCCTCAACTGCAACTTTTGAATAAAGAAAGCCTCAAGTACAGTCGTTTTTGACTTAAGGCTTTTTTACTTCAAATTTCTATTATTGCAAGAGAAATTGGAACCACGCCTTAACTTACATCAGATAAAAGAAAGCCTTATATCCACTTGCCAGTGGAGTTAAGGTTTTCTTTTCTCTTATGAGTTTCTTTACAAGTGGCTTTTGATGCTGTTTTTCACTAAAACTAACAGGTGTTTCTTATGCTCAGCTGTTTCCCTCCATTTAGGTATATTGACAGTGATTACTTAGTTACTAACCTCAATTCAAGAAGAGTGTTTTGTTATGGTGTCGTGGGTTGTATGCAATTTTTATGCTTTTTTTTTTAACTTGTGACATAAATTAATTTACAACGTGACATTGGACATGTGTAGTTCAAGATCAAGTTATATTTTGAGTTTATTATTGAAGGATGTGAAAAATTGAAACGAAGATAATCCTGACTATCCGTTGCCGCTAGCTGCTATTATGTCAACTTTAACAACTACTCCTGTTGTTAACTTTGATTGTAATAATAGTGAGGAGCACGACAACAGTTATGTTTTAACTCAGCTTTCACCAGTTCAACTTACTAATTTCGACAATAATTCAGGTTCCCACGACCTAGACGTTCAGGATGGCCTAGGCGTAGGGATTGTTCAGCCTATTAACTTATTGCCAGAAAGCGAAGACCAACCTGCTGAAAATATACAACCGGAAGACACCCGAAAGGTAACTAAAAAAGGGACACCAAGAATTAGAAAAAAAGTCAGTTTTAAGCAAACAAGAAAAACATGAACAGAAAAAAGATAAATATATTAAAAAACATGACTTGTATCCTCCTTGCCAAGCTTGTAGACTGAAATGCATTGAAAATATTCCATAAGTAAGAAGAAAACAAATCAATTCTGTGTATTGCGCAAAAAGTTGGCTAGATAGAAGAAACTTTATGTTGATTTCGACAACTAGGCATGGGGTCAAGAGGCGAAGAGGCAGTGAAAGTTCGTCAAGAAAGTTTTCATTCAAGTATTATCTAACAAACCAAAATGAAGAAAATGTCCAGGTGTGTAAGACATTTTTTTTGACTACTTTAGGCTACTCTAAAAACAACGACACAGTTCTTCACAATGTCTTGTGTGTTAAAAAAGATCCAACAAATATTGCTTCTGATGATCGAGGGAAATGTACTCCGCCAACAAAAATTGACCGAGAAGTTGTAAAAGCACATATAGAGTCATACAACCCATCCATTGCACACTACCGCAGAGAACACGCTCTGCGGTACCACCCTAGTGATATCACCATAAATAACATGCATCAAAACTTTGTGGCCACACATCCGAACTTGAAATGCTCCTATGATTTGTATAGGGCTATTTGAAAAGAAATGAATATATCGTTTACCAAATTGGGAAACGAAGAATGTGAAACTTGTGAAGTGTTTATTAACCATAACACTGACCACAGCAAAGAAAATTTAAACTCCGAATGTAGTACTTGCAACGAGTGGTCTGATCAGATTGCAAGAAGTAATGATGCAAGAAACCTCTACAAAACCCATGCAAACACTAATATAGATAAAGACCACATATATTATTCATGTGACTTGCAAAAAGTTATTATGTTGCCTAGGATGGAAGGTTTCAAAACTACCGTTTTTACTAAACGCATAGTTGCATTTAATGAAAGTTTTGTGCCTCTTGGCACTAACTGCAAAAATGGTAGGCCAATTACAGTAATATGGCATGAGGTCATATGTGGACGAAAGAAGGAGGACATAATTAGTTCCTTTGATACATTTTTCAAATATTTCAGAGATGTTCCGATCATAACACTCTGGCTTGACAACTGCTCCGCACAAAACAAGAATTGGTGCCTGATGACCTACCTTGTTCACATTATTAACTCTTCGGAGTCAGCCACTCAAACCATTGAACTGCACTTTTTTGAACCAGGGCACACATTTATGTCGGCCGATTCTTTTCACCATCAAGTAGAGTTGTCTCTCAGTCGCCACAGCAAAGTATATGACTTTTCAGACTTTGAGAATGCTGTTGGAGCAACTTGTTCTGGAAAACAGTGGTCAAATCAATGCAGCATGAAGAGTTTGCAGTATGGCCTTCTTGTGTCTCTAACTACAAGCTGAATAAATTTGTGAATCGACCCTACCTGAATGATTTAGTGTACATCAAAGCCGAATGTGGCAAAGATACATTGTTGTACAGACTTTGCTACGATGAATATTGCCCCCTTCAGGAACTAGACTTTATGACCAAAAAGGGAGCTGAAAAGGCGAAGAGTTTCCGAATTTTTTCCTATTTTCCGAACTGCACCTCGAGGCATCTGCTCGGCGAAGAAACAAGATATTATTACAAAACTGCTTTCCTTGATGCCTGAAAATAGGAAACGTTTTTGGTTGGACTTGCCTGAAAGTGATGTTCCAGACTTGTGTGTTTCAGACGACATCCCTAGTTGAGAAAAGGGTGTGTGTGTTCCTAACTGTAAAACATATTTTTTTTGTTTTGGCTTAAACTTTTTTATGAACGCATTGTTATATTATATAGATACAGGTCTCAAAATTTTATTCATTTTTAATGTTGACACAAATCCTTGCTAAAGTTGTTTTATTCTAATAACTTATAATCCTGTATTTTTAATGTAGCATACCTTGAATTTTATAGGCCTAATTACAATAGTTTCACTCTAACTCAAGCTAAATATTATGATTTTTTTGTTGAAATACGTTTGTGTATATTTCAATTAGCAAAGAAGCAGTATTTAACTTTTTAAGAAAGTTTAATTTTAATTAAAAATAGTAAAATGTGTTCTTTCTTAAATAGTCCGTCTCTAAGTATATTTTGAGTAACATTATATGAATAAATTTTGCAAAAACTCCTGGGTGTTTACCTTTTTTAAACCCTAAATGTTTTTTTAGTTTTAAAGTAAAATACATAATGAGCCACCATGGGAGTTAAGGTTTTTATGTTACGGTTGTTACTGTTTGGAGGTAACAAGGATTTAAGTGCCATTTTTATGCCCAAAAAAAGCCAAAAACAATTTTTTTTAACAAAACTTGTTTTTTATTTATTTTCATTAAATTATTAAGGACTTTAAACGTACATTTTAGAGAAAAAGGGTTGTGAAAAAGTATATTTCACGTTTTATTGAATATCTCCGTTTCAAGTAAATTGGAGTTAAGGCTTTCTTCCTAAGCAGGGCAGAGTTGAAATTAAATGTCCATATAAAGCAAGAGAACTTACGCCTAAAGAAGCTATTGAACAAAAAACAATTTAATTTTGGCTACTCATGGACGGTCAATTGCATTTAGAAAGAACTGACAGGTAGTTTATTCGAAAATATTGATAAATATATCGAACTGTGGAAAAATATGCGACCAAAATTACAAGATTTTTATCATAATTTTTATTTGAATCAGCTTCTAAAGACACATTACACATAATTATATATTTATATAGTTTCTTTTTATCGATTTTAATGATCGTGATACTAATCATTATATCTCTTCATAATGCCTTTTCCACAATTCTCTTTTTTGCCTTTCTCAGTTCCTTACTATATTGCCCCACACTTTTTTGGCGAAATTAAATTTTCATCTGATTTTTGTCCTTTGATCTGCAAGTTTTTTATTCTACCAGGGTACTTTCCTGTTGAAACTCCTCATTTCCTCTGGTCAATTGTGGTGGAATGTCACCATGACAACTGCTTGTAATTTTTCAGCAGTCATGTTATAATGAGTCTCTTTAACACCTCTCACCTCTTATTTCAAGACATATGTGTGAATGGTCTGAACGAGACATGTAATCTAATACATAGTACTTTTTAATCAGTGTAGTTATATGCTTCGTAGCTAAAATTCTATCAATTACTCCTTTTTGGGATAATGCCACACAATGTCATCAGTGTTTCTAAAATAAATGGGTTGTAGTTAAGGGTCACAAGTGTGGAATTAGCAGACCCTTAAATTTTGTTTTCTAGGCTTAGGTCTTTATATATTTAATTTTCATTCAGTACGAAAAATCTGCTTTCAAGAAAGAACAATTGCCTGTTAATAGTAAGTGTGTCTTGTCTCTAAACTTTTAAAAGTTTTATACAGTGAACGGCTAAATTATGGAATATTATCATTATTTCGAGAACCGTCTAGTTTTGAGGAAAATCCCGAAACAGGTCGATTTTTGGTATAAAATATCCATCTTATAACGTACATGGGCCTTTGGGTATGGAATCATACATGTCCATTAACTCGGCTCACGGAGCACAGAGTCATCTTCTCTGTCACTCACGTGGGCAACTCCAACCTGGCGCGTCCAAGTCGCGGGGGTGGGCATCTATCACTTCAGTAGGCCGGAGTGAATAAGTGGCTAAGTTCAGGTTGGGACCCAGTTCTGTGGACACAGACCCCTGCCTAGGGATACAGGTGAAGACCACAACGGTAGGCACGCAGGAGAAGATCTTCGGTACGGCGTGGATGGCGGAAGTGGCATCCCTGGATTTTAGGGATTGTATAAAATCTGACCCCCACGATTCTGGCAACGGTGTACTTAGCAGATAAAAGTAAATTTATTTTTCTCCTACTAAAATCCCAAATATTGCGATTAGTAGCGAAAAATAATTTACGATTTGTTTACATAATATGTGAATTTAAAACGGCTTCGTAATACCACAGTGAAAAATTTCTGGAAAAAAACCCGATTTCGATAAAAACTAGTGTTTGAAGTGACAAAAGTAAGTAAGGTTATTTACAATTCGACAGTCATACTGGTAGAACTCTGGCCGTTATTTTTGCGACGTTGCCAAAGTTAAAAATAGTTCTACAAACTGAGGACTGATTTTTGAGCGGTTGAAGCGGATCTAGTTCCTTTCGCGGTCCTTAGAAACAGATATGATGTACACGGATAGTGATGATAATACGTCAGAAGGCAAGAAGAGAAAAGATAGAGGGTCAACTTCACCTTTCTTGCAGAGCAAAAAAACTGCCAGAACCCCAAGCAAAAGAAATCCAAAGGAAGAAGATTCAGAGGATTTGGACGACGTTATGAGCATGTTCAAGAAGATGATGGCGGAACTGAAAGAAATCAGGAATGAAAATAAGGAATATAGAGAAGAGATGATAGCGCTGAAAAAAGAAAATATAAAGATAAATCAAGAATTGGAAGAAACAAAAAACAAATTAACCCAGGTTGAAAACAAAGTAGAAAGAATTGAAAAACAGATGAAAAGAAATAACATAGTAATTACGGGTCTACCAATAAACACAACAGATGAAACACTCTTGAAAAATAATGTAAAAGATTTTATACAAAAGCACCTAAAAGAGGATGTCGAAATAGAATCTGCAATGAAGTTAAAGAACAATATTTGTCTGATACAAATGAAGGATTATGACGAAAAAATTAAGGTAATGAAAGAAAAAAAACAAACTCAGATTTCTTACTGGAGAAAAGATCTTCATCAACGATGACCTGACCGAAAAAGAAAGACACATGAGGCAGGAAATCGTAAATAAAGGCAAGGAATTAAGAGCTGAAGGTAGAAATGTGAAGATAGGGTACAAAAAACTAACTGTGGATGGCATAAAATGGGTATGGGCCGGAAATGGTACTTTTAAACAAGAAAATTCTAGTAATATGGACCCAAAAAACGACATATAGTAGTGGAAAAAGGACAAGATGGCCCATTATGCCAACGGACCCTAGCGATGAACAGGAAAATGAGTTTGGACATAAATAGCAAAATAAAAAATAAGAATATGTACCTAAATATTGCTACATGGAATGTACGAGGAGGGAGCATTAATTAACCTAATAGAAGAACTAAAAAAATATAAAATACACATCTTAGCAATACAGGAAACACATTTAACTGGAAACGACATTAAAAAGATTAGCCCATACACGTTTTACACAAGTGGAGGCGATAATAGGAATTTTGGAGTGGGTTTTCTGGTACATGAAGACGTGGAGCAAGTAAAACGATTCGTAGTAAAATCTGACAGAATGTGTGCAATTAGAATTAAGGGAAAAAAGAATATGATATCGTTGATAAATATACATGCTCCAACAGAAGAAAAAGACGAAGAAGTGAAAGACGAATTTTACGAAGAATTAGAGTCATTGTGTGAAGAAATGCCCAGACAAGATACTAAATTATTATAGGCGACGCCAATACAAAGATCGGAAGAGAAGATATATATAAAACCATAACAAAGGGTGAAAGTAAACATTTGAATACAAATGATAACGGACAAAGATTAATAACATTCGCAATTGAAAACAGGATGAAGATAATGAGTACCCATTTTAGGAGAAAAAATATATATAAAGGAACGTGGAAAATTCCGGGATCAAATAGAAATAATCAAATAGACCACATCTTAATACAAGAGAAATTTGCCAATTTAATAACAAATGTGAAAACGTGCAGAGGGGCTGACGTAGACTCAGATCATTTTTTGGTTAAAATTAATATGAGAGAAGCAATAATTAAAAAGCATAAACGGAAAAAGAAAGTGCAACGTAAATTTAACTATGAAAAACTGCGAAAATTTGAGGTAGCGCAGGATTATCAAAAGGATATACAAGAAACCTACGCGAAACAAGATAGTACTACTGTGAGTAACATACAACAAAAGTTCTTGAAAATGACAACCACTATAAAGGAAGCTACGTCGAAGAACATACCAAGAACAAAAAGATTTAGAAAAAACCACTGGTTCAATGAAGAATGCAGAACAGAGTTAAAAAAGAGATCAGATTTGAGATTAAAAAGTTTACGATCGCAAAAACAAGACGACCTAGAAAGGTATGCCGAACAACGAAAAAAAGTAAAGAGAATCCTAAGGGAGCGCAAACGAAAGTATATGGATGATAAAATTAAGCGCATTGAAGAAAATTACAAGAAAAATGAAATAAAAATTTTTTATAAAGAAGTAAAATACATTAAAACTGGGTACCAGGGAAGAACGATAAATGTAAAAGATAAGCAAGGACACCTGATAGTGGACGAAGACCAAATATGTGAAAGGTGGAAAGAATATTTCGAAGAGATGCTAAATGAAGAAGTGACTACTGAAGAAAATTGTTATGTTCCTAAACCTCAAATAGTAATAGAAGAAATACCAAGGCCCTCAAGAGAAGAAATTGAAGAAATAATAAAAGATATGAAAAATCAAAAAAGCCCCGGGGAGAGCGGCATTGTGGCAGAGAACATAAAATATGGAGGAGAGACCTTAATAAACAAACTTGGCGAGCTAATAATAAAAGTATGGGATGCCGAAGAAATGCCTCAAGAATGGAATAAGTCGATTATAATTCCTATACACAAAAAGGGAGATAGAACTGAATGCGCAAACTATAGAGGAATATCTTTATTAGAAGTAATTTATAAAGTACTCGCCATACTAATTAAAAAACTATTAGAAATATATATAGAGAAGAATCTAGGAGAATACCAGGGAGGATTTCAGAAAGGAAGATCAACAACCGATAAAATTTTTATGCTAAAACAAATCCTGATCAATTGCTATGAATACAAAATTTCAGCACAAGTACTTTTCATTGATTACAAAGCTGCCTACGATACAATAGACATGAACAAGTTAATAGAAACACTAAAAGAATTCCAAGTGCCAGAAAAAATAATAAGATTGGTAAAAATGACAATTAGACAAACCATTTACGCTGTGAGATGCAACGGTACAATCTCAGAAGAATTTGAAGTGAAAAAAGGTGTTCGATAAGGAGACCCGTTGTCTACATTGCTATTTAATATAGTTCTAGAAAAAATTGTAAGGGATAGTGGGATAAATAGGTCCGGAACTATTTTATACAAGGAGCACCAATGCTTAGCATACGCTGATGACGTGGTTCTTATTACAAGAAATGGAAAAGAGCTATCAAATATAACAAAAAGATTGATTCGGGAAAGCTCTAAAATAGGACTGAAAATTAATATTAATAAATCGAAATACATGGAGATCTCGAGCAAAAAAGGAATAAACACCAGGGAATCC